TCTTAATAAAGCAGGAATTAGGGTGGCATTCAAACCTAAAAATTCACTCAGACAGGATAAACTGTATAGGCTAAAGGACTCAGTTATACAAAATAATATAATTTACAAAATATCATGAAATGACTACATAGGTGACACTAACGGATCTGAGGTGGTCGGATTATCAGAACATACAAAGTGTGACTAATTGTAGAATGACTGACCCCACGAATAATCAACAAGTTTAGACAAAACCTCAGGAATCTAAATGCACGGTGAGGAAGAGCAAAAGTTCTGAAAAGTGATATTAGTTAGGTGGAGTGGGAGAGAGAGAGGGAGAGGATGACTGCTGAATCTTTCTTCGTTCTTCGAATCTTCTACACCTAATACGTTCTACAGGAATGACTCATTACCAGTACAAGAACTGTGTAAAATATTATGGTTAACAATAAAAGCGAGAGATTATGGAGAGCTGTTTGATTACTGCCTTATTTATGATCATGAGCAGCAATAAATTTAGCTCAAAAAGTGGTAAGCTTTGTGGTAAAACTTTGTGGTTTTATTAAGTAAATTTACTCTGTGTCAGAATAAAGATTCACTCTTCCGGACTAAAAATGACAACTCTGAGCTCACAGACTGGGATCCACTGAGACTTCAAATCCACCAATAACATCAATAATGAGCCTTCATTTTGGATTCAAAGCATTTCTGATCACTCTGAACCTGACGCTATATGAGTACGTTGGAATAAGTAGTGCGAACACATCGTTCCCTGGCCAAGGCACTCCTAACCCTTGCTTGGTTGGATGTGGTCACGGGTGAAAAGAGAAGACTGAGCGTAAATCAAAGGAATCAATTAAAAAAATAACCCATGGTAACAAGTTAACTTTGCATTGTATCTTTTCGCATGATATAGAAAGAGACACTTGCACTGATAATAATAATGCTAATAAAAAATAAGGATGTAAAATTAAAACTGTGAACTAATCGAAATAGTGACAGAGCAGTAAGTTATTGGTTTTGTGCCTAACGCCTACTTCTCATCACAGTAAACGTGTGCTTGACAAATAAGTGGGATATAGTAGAGTTCATGTACTCGGTCATTTGAACATAAAGTCTTTCAAAATTGCTCCTTGTCCTACTCCACCCGGTAAGAAGCTAGAGAGAGAGAGAGAGTCCTACAAGATGGTGTTCGGCAAATTTCTTGCAAAAGTTCAAGTGCTTATCTGCAACAGTAATAATACAAGTTATTTTAGCGACAACACCCTGACTCGCTGCCCTACCGGCAGCTTTTAGCACTTTCTGGAATGTAACAGAATAGTCTCTCTTAGGTATACCAAGGAAGTTCACACGGGGTGAAGCAATAAAGAAGATTTAACAGCTTCCTTCCACCATAGTATACGAGAGGATTAGTGATGTGTTTATTCAAGAGAATTCAGTATATTTGTACGGCTGATGCTATAGAGAAAGAAAGTAAACTACTGATGTACGCATTTGTTGAAAACGGATATCCTTTGAAATTTTTAAACAGATATCAAATTAAGTCAGTTTTAAAACCTAAAATTTATTCTGCCCCTATCAAAGATGTTTTAGTTAGATCACCATACAATCGAGAAGTGAACAGTGGAACGTTAAGACAGAAACTAAACTTGATTATATGTAGAACCTGTTATGCGTTCTGGTTTATAATTATTAAAAAAGCCCAAAAATATGCTCCAATACAAACCTCAAAAGTTTACAAGTGACTATGTCACATAACACACAATATACCAATTTGCGTGTGTGTGTGTGTGTGGGTAGGTGGACACATAAATAGAAGAGAGTTACCGAGCTTTGCATGTGAGGGTGGGACAGCATATGTCGAAGCTGAACTTTGGTAAGTCGAAAGACTCAGGTCACGGACTACCAGTTTAGTCTATAGCTAAGCGCCTAATCGATATGAACCACAAGATTGGTGTCAAAATAGCTCTTAAGGTTATTTATACAAAGAGAGCACTTATTGAAATACGCTGAGGCGATAGCGTTTCGTAAACTTAAGCCCACTTCACCCCTTTATGCATAAAAACAATTTGTTATTACTCTCAGCCCACCTTAGTAACCTCGTGTGATTAGACAATCTAAATCCTTTTTGTCACTCTGTGCAAATCAGTTGGCACATATTTTTCATACAAATTGACTCGAGGAGTAAATGTACGGGGGATTAGACTGTTGTTTGGAATGTACTGCACAAATATACCAAAGTTTTTCTGATAATCTCCATCTGTTGATACCAGATTCTCTTAACATAATGTAGTTGGTTCTGGAAATAAGCATGATGTCGGAACAGCATGAAAGACACAGTCTAAAGAATTTCACATTTCCATTTTCAGTAACATATATGATACAAAGATTCTGGGAGCAAGCCAAGTTCATGTAAATCACGTTTATATGTGAAAGTGAAATTAACCAAGAGACTGATATTTCTAGAAATTTAACTCAACCTTATTTCGCCTCAAACACTACTGACTAATTCTCGATTTATCATGAGACAACCTCACTGAGAAGGAACTAGCATCTTAGCAATTTAGATCCTCTACACACTTAAAAACAACAAATTCATGTAAGAAGAAAGAATACAGAAAAGAAAGAAAGAACACCACCCTGAGGAAAATCATCTGCTGTAAGTCAAAACATTGGAAGAGTTCACTGAAACGAAAACTCAGATAACTGATTGAACTCAGTTATTCTTCAATATTTGTAATTTTGCTCTGACACTCACTATCCTCATTTTCTTATAGTTTTGTGTCACTAATATTATTATTGCCCTTATCATTTTACATTTGTTCATCCTTTTGAATCTGTCGTTTCTGGTGATGCCAAAATTTGTTGCTGTTATCAATTTTGATTGAATGTACCGTGTACTGTATATTTTTTCTGTTGTTGCTGTTGAATGAATTAAATGCAATTTTGTAGAAAGTGCTAAAACTTCGACACTATATGATAAGTACTGTTACTGTGGAATAAAGCAAATTATTATTATCACCGCTATTGTCATACAGATTATGACAACATGGTATCCCACTACTAATAATATTTACTATGTTCTAAGAATACTTTGTACTTTTCACTGCGTTAATTCTGAAATTTCCTTCCTGAAAGCCGCGCTCTCAGAAAACAGTCACACAAACCGATTTACTAGTGAATACACAAAAGATAAGCAGTCCAAACGGGTCAGTGATAATCAGTTCTAAAGAAAAACGGATTCAAGAATTTGGAATTCAAATGGTCTTCAGGCCTCAGATATATGCTCAAAAACCGTCTGTCTAAATCAGTCAGTAAGACGTTATAAGGAAAAAACGAGGACACTGTGGTAGAGTATAACTCCATTATGGATACAATTTTACTTTGATAAAATCACACAGTGTTGTACTATGCAACACTGCCAGTAAGACTTTATTTGCTGCGAAATCGCAAATGATGTTCATCAGCCGAAAGTTGTTGTTCTCCCTCCCTCAGCTAGAAACCTCAATGTGCATCTATCCGTCCAAATGCTCCTCTTGTGGAGCAAGTCACATTCATTGGCCGTAGTCAGAGAACGCCTTCCACACAGACACGAGAAAATATTCCAGTAGCATGTTTATAGAATGAGGAGAAGGGGAGGCTGTAAGAAGCTCTATTCCAGAATCCTTGACTGACTTCTGTGTCAATCTGCTAACCTTGACCATGACTGTAGGATTATCATCTATCGAATTTAGGGTTACTTGGAGGCCGTGTGTTCTGTTTTCTAAACTGAGGCCTTGGCTACTCATTCATAGATTTTAGCCAGAATTCTTTGAGTACAAAAGAAGTGCATGCAATGCCCACTTCTGCTTTGATCGAAGAGAGTAGAAATCGATTAATTTATTATTATTATTATCATTATATTTTTCTTTATTTAGTTAATCTATGTCCCTTTTCGTCATAACCACGATTATTGTTATTATTATTACTATTCTCACTTTGAATTGTCTTCACTTGTCATCCTAAATACAAAAAAATGTTTTTACAATCTTGAATCCTATGTTATCGACTTTCATGTCATGTTATGTGATGTTTTTATTTTATTTTCTTACTAACCCAATTATTTTACACCCCTTCGCAATATCTTTACATCCATCTTATGAATTATTTTATATATGACAATAACTGTTTTTCCACTTGACACTTGATATTTAACTATGATTATGATCACAAATATTTTAACTGTATTTCATACCATGAATATTTTGTGGATTTATGACTTTGCTTAAAATTTCCTCACGGAATATGATTTGTTAATATAAAAATACCACATTTATACAGTTAGACAGTTTGATATTAGATTCGTTATTAAAAAGAGGTCTCTTCTAATGTTACGATTATAACCATAGTTCATTGTGGGATGGCAAAACAACTAATGTCATATATAGAACGTTTAGAACGTGGAGGGGGTGTGCAATTATAGAATTAGTAGAGAAATCGAATAAAATAAAAAACTTTACTTATTATTGTGTGAAATTTTGTAACTTAGAATTTCACGTTGCAAAACAAAACTGATTTTGAATGACCAGTGGAACAATTAAAATAATACAGGGACTATTCAAAACTGGCGTCGGTGGCATAGCGGTTAGGACGCTCGCCTACCATGCACATGGTCTGGGGTTCGATCCCCGGCCGACGCACTCCTTTACCTCGCTAAGCCAGAAATAATGCTGGTAAAGAGGAAAGGTTGGGAGTGAGGCTAGCAACCCCTTCCTGTAAAATGAAGACTGCTACAGAAACTTCAGGAAAGAAAAAAAAATTCAAAACTAGAATAGTAGCAGTGATAACCAACGTAATGAAGGAAGAGGATACAAACTGAATAAACAAAACGAAGAATAAGTACAGTCAAACTATAACTAGGGTTTACCATACTTCAACACTGAGAGATTATTAAATTACGCTGAAAAAAAAATAATTAAGCACCACTGAAACATTGGACGAAATTCGCTATATCAACAACAAGAGAAATGGACAACACTTACCGAATTGTTATTCTGAGCTTTTCCCCGGTATTTTTGAAAAAATAATTTTCCTTATTCAATTTATTTATTTCAACAAGATGTAAACATGGTTTTTGAAAGTTTGTTTTTATTTTGTTTTATTATTCTATTTTAATATAAGGTAAGTAGATAAACTAATTGGATAGCAGTGAAACATTGAACAATGCAGACTGATAGCTTTTTGCCACCTAAATTCAGTTATCTATACATAAACTCCCGATTTTATGGAAAATGAAATTTATCAGATATATATATCTTATATATATTCCAGGAAAAAGGGTTAAATAGTTCGCCACCATCGCCAGTTAATTCTACCAATAAATACATATCTACATATTATACGGTATGTCTGTGATCATTGGGAATTTTTCCCCACTGTGGATGAACCAATCAAAATTCAGTATTTTCAGTTTATTTATACATCCATGTTTCATCTTGATTTTATTGTTTTTTTCAGGTAATGAATAGTTGACGGATGACAAACGGGTTATATACGTCATTAAAGTTTGAGTAACCTATTGACTTGTTTTCCAAATAAGTCCAACCCTCACTTTTTTCCTGGACTTGAGACTTAGTAAAGAAAACTAACCGGTTAGTGAACTAAGAGGTGCCTTTGACATGGCTGAAGGTAGGAGTAAGACAAGGCTAACTGAACACTGTCACAGATGATATTCTTAATTGTAGTGAACAGGGTTATGCAGCACACCATAAGTGGGGAGCGAGAAGACGAGAATACTGTGGGGAGATAAGACTCAGAAGACCTGACTTCGCGCGTGGATGATATGTGTGTCTAACGTCACGAAAATTCGAAGAACACAAGCAGACAGACACCGAGAAACTGGCAGGTAGAGGGAGTCTGCGAGGTCATATGGAAGACGGAGGCAATGACGAAAACCAGCAAACAGCAGCAACAACCAGAGGAAACGTCCTTCATATATCCCACTAAGAGGCACCATCTCAACCGTATTCATAAGTAAAAACAGTTTTTTTGGTTCAGCGAACAATTTCCTTTTCAACGATTTTATTTTCAAGCTGTACAGTCGTATTTATATTACAGAAAAAGGTTATTAAGTGGCACTAAATAATTGCTCAGTCAAAATACATATATATGTGATAAGAATAACGATAATTAAAATGTTATAAGGGGTAGAGCTGAATTGGATAAATTACAAAATTATTAAAGATTGTTTTATAAGTGAATTGATATCAAAAATGTCAAGTGTTGTCTAAAAATTTTGAAAATTAGGAGTACGATTACGATAAGAATGAAGATGTGAAGTGAAGTGGAAAGAATTCAAGTGGTAAAATAAAATAAAAACTAGAAAGAACATTATTATGACCAAGGTAAAGAAAGGGGTTTGACAAAACGCTTTTGAAGACATAATTTAGGTTTCTGTTCATGTATAGCTAAAGCTTCGGCTATGCATAAGTGAAGAAAACGTTAACTTTTGGAGCGATTCGATTTTGCCATATAGACAACCTGGAAGGATGCATCACGTGGGGCTAAATGACCAGACTCCATCTGACAGGTGATCACAAATAGACGACTTTGCAGTTCTACGTTCGCCTTTCATTAACCAAACCGGTTAGTGTTCAGCTACACTTTTTCGGAGAGCATGCTTACAACGTTCAATATAATCAGTTTCACAAGAGCAGGTAAAAGAGTAAATGCACATAGATGTGGATATAAGCGGTAATCTATCCTTGACGCATTGTCTAATCATGTTTTGGCTGGTATAAACTAGTTGCAAGTCAGCTGCAGGAAAAGTGAGTTTATTACATTCAGATAAACGATTTTTAATCATTTCAGAAATGGTGTCACCTTTGAATGTCAGACTCATAAACGGTTTATTCTTTGGTACTGTGATTTGTCTAGAGGCGGATTCTTTCTTGATGTCATGCTCAATGAACCTTGTAGGATAACCATTGTCAAGGAGACTTGATCTAGTTCACTATCGATTGTCTCTGCAGAGCAGATTTTACGGATTCTGGAGCATAAGGAATGAATAAGATTTCTCTTTCCCCCTCAAGGTACCCAAATGTTGAAGTTAATGTACTGCCCAGTGAATGTTGGCTTTCAGTAAATCGACCTTACCAGCGTTCGACTCTCTATTCCATCTAGCTTAACATCAAGGAAATGATACGAGGAATTCGACTCTTCTTCGACCGTGAAAAATAAGGACGGGTGAGAACCATTAAATATTCCAACAAGTTCGATAATTAATAATAATAATTTTTCCTTCACGTTCCCAGTGGAACATAGGGCTCCAAGCTAGTGGCTTGAAGTTTCTGTAGCAGTGTTTAATTTGTACAGGATGTGGTTGCTAGCCTCGTGCCCAACCTTTCCTCTTTACCAGCATTATTTCTGGCTCAGTGAGGTAAAGGAGTGCGCCGGCCGGGGATCGAACCCCGGACCATATGCATGGTCGGCGAGCGTCCTAACCGCTATACCACCGACGCACAACAAGTTCGATAGTTGAAGATATTTGGCAATGTAGTAGAAGATTGAACGATCAATTCATGGTTGTTTGCTCAAACCCAACTTCCCTATATTTTCGCGGAGACATCGATACACCAGTCATCGTCTCATCGGTCGCTGTTCAGAACGAAGTCAGGCCAAAACTGTCAGAAGTAATATTGTGATTTATTATTGTAATATTTGTTCATAGACCTTAGTTGTGAATTTTAGTTAAAAGCTTAATTTTAAAGTTGGCTATATGTTGGTGTTACAATAAAGAATTCTCGAGTAGCCAGTCGGTGTTTTGGTTTTGCGTCTGTTATTACTAAGCGTTTCTGAGAAACTTCAAGGAACAGCGTGAGTCCCAGCGTAGCAAGAGCTGGGCATTGACGGTTTACGAGACGTGGCTGACAATTTTCATCACATACAATGAAGGTATCATCAATATATCTTTTATACATAAGCAAACTGTCGATGGTTTCTTTTAGTGGGTTAATCACCATATTCAGCGGAATGTTTGAATATATATCAAAACCAGCCAGAGTTTGAAAGGCCAGGTATGGCCGCATAACTCTGAAGTCACTCTGGAAATCTTCTGCACTCCGCCACAATATAAACAACAAGATTCCTTTTTTTTATCACTAATGTTAAGACAGTCACTACTACTATTCTTTTACGTTCTCAGTGAAACAAAGGGCTTCAAACTAGGAGGTTGATGTTTTGGTAGCAGTGTTTCTTATTTTTATGAGATAGGGTTGCTAGCCTCATGCCCAACCTTCCCTCTTCACCTGTCTTATTACTAGATTAGTGAGGGAAATGAGTGCGTCAGCTGGGCATCGAACACCGGACTAACTACGTGATTGGCAAGCATTCTACCGCTGAGCCACCTGCAAACTACTTCTTTCATCTGGGTCAAAAATGTGCACTGGGCGACAACAGAAGCATTTCTAACAGCCAGGTGCAGACTTTTCTCAAAGGTTGCCTACTTCGTTGGCTCTATATTGAAGATCAAATGGCTGGTTGGTCAGAAATAATTACCAACAAGAAAACAGTGTAATCAGACTAATCAAGACTAATCAATTACTCTACAGATATGTAGAAAAACACGGAGTTGTATTAGACGCACTCTGTGGAGACTGTTGAATGACATCATGCGCCAGTCAGGCTATCGTTCGTGTGGTGAATAACTAGTGGGACATGTATCCGAAGTTGACATGGCAGAGATTGTGTGATGAGGAGGAGAATACAGACTATGGAAAATCGTGGGGCAAGCAAGCTTAAGATGACATTCAGAGAGCAGGACAAACTGAAGACATGTTGCTGAAGCCCTAAGTTCCTCTTGGAATTCAAGAGGACAATAATAAATAGTAACAATCATAAGTTATTCTCATATGTCTCGTTTTGCTCCTTTCTAGGTATTAAAAATAGCTCATTGGCTAGAAGAACTGTTGAAATCACGTGTGTCAAGTTGGTTAGCTGTCTACAGTTTGACACTTCCGAATTCTTCTCACTCTTTCATGTTCGCCAAAGACATATGGGATCTGGGGCTCGATTCATGCACTACGAGCTTCGTGACCAATCTTGTCGATACTTGGCCAGGGAAGGAGGGCCACATTTGGACTAGTAATAATCTGAGAGTTCACACCCGATGCTCTATGTCCGATAACCTAAAACGTAAGAGACACCAAGAAAAATATCGCTTTCCAACACATCCACATGAATGAATGGTCAAATCAATGCGTTTGGTTCCCACTGGAACTTAGAGTTTCACTTTATTATTCAATGCACTCCTGTTTAGCTTACTGCAAGATCGCCTATAATTTTTCACTTCTTCCTAACAAACCTTTCTCCGTAGGTTCTCTTCAACTGCACATATCCTAAATAAATCAACTATAAGCTGCAATTTTTTTTTAACTTGGACTGGTCAATACCTAATTTATCACAGATTTTAATAATGTGACTGCTAACGGAGCCTAGTAAAAACTCTTTTGAGCAGTTATGTTATATTCAGAAAGTAACAGTGAAGAATACTCTAAATTATTGAGAAGAACTTTATTGAGAATTCATATGCTTGAAAGTTCATATAAAATTATGGAAGTTTAAAGACACCGGTACCACAATCCGAAATTGTTTAACTGGAAACCAGTGTTCAGCTATTTAGCGTAAAAAGGGGAAAAAGTATCCACAAGGACGGAGAAAGGATTCAAGTGTATACTGAAAAGAATATTTCCTGCGGCTAAATCCATTCTATATCAGAACACAGTATGCTCGTTAACCCAGTCAAAGTTAGATAAGTATCCTGCTCCACATGTCAACTTCAATAATCTGTGTACAAAGAAAATTATGGTCACTCTTGGTTCGAAGAAATCATTACCATCAATAGACTTCTACCCAACCGCTGTCCGTATATAGAGACAGATAACATCACCTATTGCCCACTACCCTGGTAACTGTGATTTGTTTTGTTCGTGTGCGTGCCTTTTGTGTTTTGTCCTGTTGAATAAAATTCCACTTAGTTTTGATTTTGTTTTCCACTATCTGAGTTGATCTCATTATAATTAAGTCTCTTAACATATGCCTAATTGTTTTATTTATGTCATAATTTTACTTTATTATTCACTACCGACCTCATATCACACTGGCTGCAAATGTCTTTGTGCTTTCTTCATTCAAAATAACAAAAGTTAGCAGCTGCATAACTAACAATCTTCGTGCCTAGATAGCCATTTCCCAGTCAAGCTGGAAATCGTAGGTCTGTGTGGCATTTGACACCATTTAACGATCTACTCAGCATATTTGTCTAGTACATCATCATTTTATTCAGCATATATGTTTGT